CTAAACTCTTGATAACCAAATCACAGGAAATGTTCGTAAAAAGAGAACTTACATCGAGCGAAAGTAAAATATAATCATCCGGAATATATATTTTTTAATCTTGTCTATCAATGAAAAACTATTTTTAATATATGATTTGGGTGGCTCAATACATTTTTTCAAATTTTTATCTAATACTTTTGAAAGAAAATAAGTGGGACTATTTATTAGTGAAATAACTGGTCTAAGTGGACAAACACTTTTATGTATTTTAGGTAACCCATACGCTCTCGCTAAAGATGTATTAGTCTGTGTGAGACTGAGTTTATTATATCTCTGATCCAAGAATTCTTCCTCATTTAATTGTGATAATATCTGATAAACGTTTGATTGAAGAATTTTTAACGGATTTTTTGCAACTATTTTGTATGTATCTTTATCGGCCAACAATAATTCCATATTTCTCATGTAGTCATCCTTATTCAAACATACCGAAACATTACCCTTATCTGATCGTGTGAAAAATAAATTATTATTATTTTTTTTAAATTCTTGAGTTTTTTTGTAATCTTTAGTAATTTTTTTCTCGTATGTACTAATATGATTTATTCGTCTACAAGCAAATTCAATATTCTTAATTAGAATGTTTCTCATTTTTGAAATGTTATTTGGTTCTATGTCTACGTTTTCATCTATTATCAAATCAGAATTATTATTTCTTTTACTGAATTTACTAACTGCATATTCGAAATTTTTTATACCATTTATAATGTCTTTTTCCGATATTCTATTTTTCAAATTATGTCTCTAACCTAAAGAAACGATATTTGTAACTTCTTGTGGAAGGCTAACTTTTGACAAATTAATTACCCATTTTCTCTTGTCATTGAATTTTTGTTTGTGTGGTTCGAATTGTTCGGGTATCTCCGTTTCGTGCTTGACTCTGATTGGATGTTTAATTGCTTACTATATTGACAGTCTAGTATAGACAGTTGTACCATGATGAGTAACACTTTGAAATTCACAGTTCATTTTATATCTCTGAATTTTCAGGTTGTTCTAAATAGTAAATATTTTATAAATTGACATTACTATGACTTAAGTTTTCTATAATTGTGAATACGAATGATTTTGTTATTATTGTTTGATGTGTACTGTAGTGTTATGATCATGTCGATTGTTTAAAAAAGTTTTTAATTGTTTATAATTTTTAATAAAGTTTTCCTGAAGAGGCCATGAATTTATGGCGAAACGTTGAAATTTCAAGATTGTTGTTGTAATTACATGAGGGATTTTCCTTAACCGTTGTTGTATATGAGATTAGTAATTTTAGTTTCATATTTTTTAATTAACGTTTTACCCCAGACCAGACAAACAATCCTTTTTGTCCCTCCATTATTTATATAAAATTTAAATAAATCCAATTTATTTTTGCCAACAACAGCTGGTGCATTTTGGTCAACATATCCAGTAAGTTCACTATATAAATTGATTGATATTTTAAAATGAAATCAAACAAAATAATAGTTCATCAAATAAAAAAGAGATTACGTTAATTCATCTTTGTCCTGGAAATAATCGAAATCCTCATCTCGACTAGAAACTATGTTATTGACTGCATTCTCCTTGTCTTCGTCCATAATGTTTTGAATCTGTCTTTCGTCTATAATGTTTTGAACCTGTGATAAAATATGGTTTAAAATGCAATTCATTCTGCAATAACAAATTATGAAAAAAAAATGAATTAATTTAATGAATGTTACGTTATTAATACAAAACTAATTTTGATTTGAGTACTTCAATAATAGATTGTCTTAATTAAAAACAAACTTGTATACAGAAAATTCATTAGTGCCACACTTGATAAATGTTAATATTTATGTTAATGTTAATGGTAATGTTTATTGTTAATAAAACGACTGCAATATCTCTCTGATAAATTGAATGTTTCATACAATTTCTGTAAATTAAGAACCACGTTTTTACCTAACTTTGCTTCTACTATAAAGATTTTAACATGATATATCCATTAATATGTGTGTGTGTGTGTGAATAATGACAATAATGCTATTCTTAAACAATTAAAAATAGAAAGTTTGTAGAATAAAAAAGATGTAGTTGTTAAAAAAATTAATTTGGCGAGATTAATTCAGTTAACCTTACTGATATCAATTATAATTTCTTGAAATATTGTTAGATTATTATGTAATCAATAAAATAATTCGTAAAAATCAAAATTCATGAATAATACTTACGCAAAAGATCTTGAAAATAATTTTCAACAATGAGATAGCACTAATGGAAAAAGATACAAATCAGCGATTTCAAGCCGGAGCTCGATCAATTCGATAATACAGCAAAAAGACTGTGTCACATCGAACGTGACCATCTTATATCCAATTATTATTATTATTATACATGTTTACCAAGGACATTTGCCGTCATATTCTCACGTGACCATCTTTCAACCAATCACATCGCGAATAAAATGACTTCACATCACTTTTCATAGTAGGGATATTTGGTTTTTCGTGTTGCATTCTTTATATGTTAATAAATCGAAAAATAATGTTTAGCCGGATACCTTTGTACACATACTCTTGTACTCTGTCGTAAAACGTACATTGCCTATCTACTTAAGATATTCTAAAATGTCCAAACAGTGACTATCTCAACAAAAACTACATCATACAATGTCAAATAATTGAGCAATATACAATGAATTGTGGGAAGTACTAAAAAACAACATGAAAAGATGGACAAGACTAATATCTTGTGCAGTCAAATTACCAACGATATTTCTATAAAGTGGAGCGTTTACGAATAATACAGCAGCTAACAAATAAAAGAATCAAAATACCGAATAGTATATATATTAAAACGCTAATATCGCTAATTCCAACGCCTATAAATTCGGTAAACAAAAAATAAATATAGATATCATAACATATTTAGCAACAAAAATAACTTCGACAAAGTAAGCACATTAACCCGTTAACGCCGACAGAATGCTTTTTCGAGAATGACGTCTGAATCGTTACCATGCAATGAATTGGAACAAAAAAATATTGAGGATTGTTAAGCTTCTTGTGCGCATGTGCGCGCACGCATACCACGCCACCTTCGCTGAGTTCATCTGCCGCGGAAACTAGCGCAGCATTCCAACAGTGAGCGCCTTTGGTGTTAGAGCTCTCGCAATCATTAGAGGATTACTATTATCATTATTATTAGAACATCATTAGAGTATAACTATTGTAATAGACTTTCAAAATAAAATAACTTTGTATTTTCTATTTTAACCTAAAACTAGTGTTTAATTAATTCACTTCGATCCAAAATTCCATCAAGGATCGACTAATCTCTACGTTTTCGAGGCCTAGAATAGAAGACATTCTCCTAAGACTACTTTAGCTTATTTTTTTTAAATCTTTAGCTTTCTTATTATGACTATTTATTACCAATAATGAAAGAATATCTAATAATAAGATATACGATAAACGCTTATTTTTCCAAGCTGTTCTTGTCAATACGCCTCATTAAACTCGATTATCCGGTATGCATTTAAATATGCTAGTTTTTTTAAGTTCGTTCTCTGTAGAGAAGTGGAATTTTTAATTCTATAGTTTGGTAGTTGTGTGTTTGAAAGAGTTGCATCCTTGTCATCATTTTCATTTTATTTACATTTTTCATTTATGTCTTTATGCCTTTTATAATTAAAAACTATTAATTTTGAAGCATGGGTATTATCAAAGCTGAATGTACCGTACTCTCATGCTCATACTTTTCTCTGTCTAACTATTATAATTTATGTAATATATTATCTATCTGCTGTCATCAATATACGATTCGAATCCATGAAAAAATGTGTTTGGCACATAATAAAAAATTGTTGCTAAATAATGCATCTCTAATTTTTATTTCATATTATTCGTAATACTTTCTTGTTTTGACTATGTTTGAATAATTACCATGTAATAAATTCGAACAGAAAAAATTCATGAAGCACTGTTCACTACGGTTTCGAGGATGCTTTTTTTAGTGGTGTTGATTAAAAGTCTCGCGAAAAAAGTTTTTCTATGGAAAAGTTAAAAATTACAAAATAAACTGAATTTTTCAGTTGAATTTTTTTTTAAATCGATTGTTTCTTCTTTTAACATTTTTTGATTTGTCCAAAATCTCTCTAAATCGCGGTTTCGATATCTGAACTAAGAATACCTAAGTAACGTTTTCCGAACGTAAAAATTATTTTATAAACAAATTAACGGACGGAATGGAAAATTTTTTTCTAAAACTTCATAAATTTTTTTTCTGGAAAACTATGGACTCTTATCAAAATTCCCTAAGAACAAAAATATCTTAGAATTAGCCAAGAAATACCTTAGAATTTTTTCAGAATCGTTCGAAGACTTTTGAATTTTCAGTCACAAGATTGCTAATTCAAAAATCTTATCGGAAGATCTGAAAAAATTAAAAAATACTCTTTCTTTAATTTTAAGACATTTTTATTCCTAGAAAAATATCAGAGACAAATATAGTTTTCAAGAAAAAAATTCTAATGTTGTTTAAAGTAAATAACAAATAACAGATTCACATCAAGTAACGATAAATCTAACTGGTAAAATTATACATTGTATAAACAATGTCCTATTAAAAAGTACGTCGACGTTACGGACTATAGACTTGGTATGTGAAGTAATTACCAACACTTTTGAGACGTTTCAGAATCTATGATACGTGTAGTTGCAGTCGACTAAATTTAGAACGAATCCGGAAAATATGACAAATGGACAGCGTTAAGGTCTCTAAAAATGCTATCCAATACTTTTAGAACTATGTTTATTGTTTTTTTTTCAAAAAAATTTCGAATTATAGAATTATTTTTTAGTTATCTTACTTACTTACAACGATATAAAAAATATACTTTGTATAAAGTATCATTTTACTGTAATCGTTTAGCTTTTCTACGGAATTTGTCTATGTCTTTATGAAAAAGGTGAGAAGATAATTAATAAGTTCCTCACCTGCCCGCTAAGAGAACTCACTCGCCCTCCATATTGAAGTTTAGGTGGTGGTAATATACGTCCTCTGACTTCCATCATATTATTTGAAATAGTAAGACCAAATTCTTGAACATACGAGTCATTATTAAAATCCGCTCGTCTAACGAGGTTATTAATTTCTCTTTCTCGATCAGGAGCTGATCGGGCAGTAGCTTTGATCATTGTTGAAGTCTGCATATCAGTTAATTTCTTGATACATCTTTGTCCAGCAACAATATTACAAACCTAAAATAAAGAACTTCATGATGATATGTAAATTTCATAGCTGTAAAAAAAAATTGCTATGTCCAGAGCAACAATGATGAAAAGAAACCAATATTAAAAAATTATTTTAAGGGAATTCCCCATTTCCAAGGTTTTCAACTAGTGTTTCGGCGTATTCAAAAAGCAATTGTTGTGTTTGGCTCGTTCAAATGCAGAGAATTGTTAATATATTGAAGCGAAATAATTTAGGGACATTTATTAGATGGTTAAATTTATTATAGTATTTGTTGGAAATCAATATATCAACTTTAAACAATAAATCTGTATTACGAATTTTAAAAAATCCAAGATGTATCGATACTACATTGCTTATAATATTTATTAGTAAAATTTGCAATGGTAGTCGATTCGATTAATCGATCCGTTCGCGATTCGGTAATATTCGCGATGCTAGAGCGAACGATTAAGAGAGAGAGGGTGCGCAAGAGTTTAAAAGTTTCAGTTAAGCCTCAACTGTAACTTGGATAGTACCGCCAAATTATTTTCCACTGTGTTTCGTCTCCCTCTCCCTCTCTCCCTCTCTCCCTCTCTCCCTCTCCCTCTCCCTCTCTCTCTCTCTCTCTCTCTCGGAGATCTATTACAGATAAATTTTAAACTGGTTTCATCTAGGCGATTAGTTGGAATAAGCATTAGGTCAATCATACCTAAGATAGATCGAGTGTCACAAGTCAGGTGACTTAAGGTGAGTTCAACTCTGTTGGAAAGAGAAAACACTGAAACGAAAGTATCAAGCGTAAACGCAAATACACGTATACTTATAAGTGTTTAACGGAACGGCGGTTGTCTCTGCATCGTGGGAGTTTTAGCTTTAATAAATTCCTATTGTTATAGTTAATCCACCCCGTTACAAATTATAGCATCTATTTAGTGAATTACCATTGCGCCGTACAGTATTCGAAGTGTTTCAAAAATCTTCAAAATGAAATAAATCGCGAACGGATAACTGTAGTACAGATGTATTTAAAAAATTACGTTGACTACTGTTAAATACATGAGTGATGTATTGTGATAAATATTATTTTAATACTATGGTATGAAAATATGCGTATAAAAATAATATTGATAAATTTTAATTTATAGAACGTAATAATATTATTTATTTCTAGTAATTCGATAGTCATACTTTACCCACGGTGAAAAACCGGAAAGTCTTTTTTTAGAACATGCAATTTCGATAGTGAATAATTATTCTACATTAATAAACAACCTTTTTTTCTCTTTGGAGTTTTTTTCTACAGTGCATAGTTTCCGAGATAATCAAAGATGAAAAAAAGGGAAATATTTTACGAAAAACGCTATAACTTTTTATGAGCTTAATAATAATGGATCCTGTTCCACTCATTTCAAAGATAACAGAAATATATAACTTTTACACTTTCGATTTTTATAATCTGCTGAGCCGTTCAAAAGTTATAACCGATTTAATGTAAAAAAAATTTTTTTAAATAAGTAATTTGTCTTTTTAACTTAAAAAACTTAATTTTCAATATAATAAAAAAATACCGACTGGATAAGAAGGGTATTGCGTTATTCTTCAAAATGAGCCTGCGCACGTTCTTCTACGATCATTTTAGACTGTAAAACTTTAAATTTTAAATGATTTTTTTTTTTGCCCAAAAATTATGCACGCCACTGTATTATAATTTATATGATACTATATCTATCTGCTGTCATCATTATACGATTTGAATTTATAAAAAATTGTATGTTTGGCACGAAATAAAAAACTGTTCATAAAATAATGAATCTCTAATTTTTATTTCATTTCATTCGCAATACTTTCTGGCTTTGGCTAAAGTTTCATACACTCTAAATAGTTTTTCACAAAATAAAGTACTAATACCTTATAATAAACTCCATTTATAACATTCGACGGCTTTAGTATAAATTTAATTCACAAATGAATGCCCAAAGAACAAATGCATTCACGTATAATGTAAATTATTAATGTTTTCAATTAATGGTGAATATCGTTTATTTTTTTATGTTCAATTTATAATTTAGAAATGAAAAATTTTTTTTACAGTGGATTGCTTTAGGTAAGCCTAATGTCATTTGTAAATAGTAAGAGACTATACAACTAATAAGAAAGATAAGGGAAGTGTGAGGAACCGATTCCAATGAAACTGTGATATGTTGTAGAGGACTAAAAAATAAACGTCACGTATTTTTTTATGTGTTAATAAACGGTTTAAAGGGACGAAAAATACACCCAAAGTTCAACCCCAAAAACTGTTTTTTGAGTATATCTCCTTTCCTATACAAGATTTCTTTCTGAAAACAACTGGTAAATGTTTGTTACTGAATAACAATATTATACAGCACACTAAAACCTGCCGGGGTGGCATCCCTTATTTTTCAAGAGGCCGAAAGTTATTTTCTTCTTGAATTTTTGTCTCGGAAAAATACAAATTTAATCCAGGGTCAACAAATCTTATATTGTCCTGAAGGACATTGCAAAATAAAGTTGACGTGTTTCGGCTTTTTTTTGTTTTTATATAGTATAGGAGATAAATTACCCTTAGATAATTTTCATTCTTATTCGAGTAAAGTGCCGTAGATTTCAATGGAATTTCGCTCGATTATAAATTTTCAGAAAAACAAGAGCTGAACTTTATTTTATATAGTTATAAATGTTCATAGGAGTGAAAACAACCCCTGAAATATGTCTTTAAAGTACATTGTTCAGGGTATCTATACTTCTACGTAACAAATTTCCAAATTCATTTCAAATTGATTGTTACTAATTAACAAAATTATGCACCGAAATAATCTTCAAGGGGTTGGGTTGTATCCCCTAACTATGGCCGGGATGGTTGTGATTAAAAAAATTTTTTTTCTAAAAAAACTGAAAACGAAATTCAACAATACTGGTACTGTTTCATTTGGAATAACGTTGAATATTAAAATACACTGGTACGCATAAACAACCATTAATTTTCATTGAAGCGAAATACCGCAGATATCTAATTTATGTAATATAGTAATATATTATAGAAGATCAAAACTTTTAACTAACACTTATCTATTTTTATATGAAGAAAACGTTTATTGGGCTAAAAACTACCATTATGTTAATATTTGTACATAGTTATACGAGGTCTGTCCGGAAAGTATCGGACCTACCTTTATATTTTCGTGCTAACGTTCTTCTTTTTCATCTGGTGGGTGGCATCCTTCAAAGTAATCCCCACTTGATTGAATAACACGGTTCCATCGATGTTTCCACTTTTCAAAACAGTCCTAGAACTCAATTTTAGGGATAGCCTAAAGTACACTCGGCGCATTGTTTTCAACCATTGTTTTGTCATCGAATTGGTGTCCTTTGAGTGGTTTTTTTAGTTTTGGAAACAGCCAAAAGTCACAAGGGGCTATTTCGGGACTGTATGGAGGTTGTCGAAGCAATGCGATATTGTGTTTGCTCAAAAACTGCTGCACAAGATTGGATGAATGCGCTGGCGCATTATCGTGATGGAGAAGCCAGTCACCACTTTCCCAAAAGTGCGGCCGTTTTCTTCTTACTACATCACGCAAACGTTTCAAAATTTGAACGTAGTATTGTTTATTAATTGTCTGACCTGCTGGTACATATTCGTGATGTACAACACCTTCATAATCGAAAAAAACAATGAACATTGACTTAACATTGCTCCGACTTTAACGTGCTTTTTCGGTCTTGGCGATTCAGAATGCTTCCACTGTGAAGATTGTTGTTTTGTTTCAGGATCATAACCACAAACCCATGATTCATCACCTGTAATAACTTTTCTAAGCACATTATCATCATTATTGACCATTTCCAGATTGTCCAGAGCGATTTCGAAGCGAATGTTCTTCTGCTCTGCTGTGAGCAATTTTGGGATGAATTTCGCTCACACGCGTTTCATTCCTAAATTTTCGGTTAAAATTTCTAAAATAATAGTTTTTGGTATCCCAAGGTCTTCTTCTAGTTCTCGCACAGTCATTCGACGATCTTGTTCGATTGCAAGTCGCACCCGCTCAATATAATCTGCGGTTTTTGTCGTCGAAGATAAGCCGGAACGAGAATCACTATCGACAGAAGTGCGACCATCCTTGAACCATTTATACCACTCTCTTGCTCATACACTCGCTTTCGAAGGCCTTTTGCATCAGTTCAATAGTTTTCGAACTCGTTTTTCCGAGTTGAAAGCAAAATTTGATGCAAATTCGTTGATCTTGTTTTTTAGTCATTTTTGACAATATCAAAATCTGACGAACGCAAAAAAGGCACTGTAAACAAAGACACGCTGCGCATGAACTATACGTCCGGCGGGTGTCAGTAAGTTGTAACGGAGTTATATAAGCCGACTATTCGTTGAAGAATACTTGCTCGCGGCCGTCCGCACAATATTTATCAAAGGAGGGCTCGGGAGGCACGAATGCTCCTACGACTGAATGGCACACCGAGCGTGTGTGCCAATCGCGCACGAATTGAAGGAAAATCGGGAAAACGAACGGGTTAACGCAATAATATATGACACATATATATATATTATTAATTTATTAATATAAACACAATAAAAGAAAATGAAAGGAAAAACACACAAATTAATAATTAGACGGAGCACGCACACTCCGTCTCGCAAATCGGCCTAATACAAAAATCGCTAATCCGCTTAACCGGATTATCGGCAATCACTGCCCGATAATCCGCTTAAGCCTAAGCGCCTGCGAACTCAAAACCCGGCAACGGGGGCCGGCATCACTGCCCGACCTGCACCGTTGCACCCGCGAACACCCCGGACATGCAAGAGAGCGAGAAAAAGAGAGAGAGAGAGAGAAAACCGGCACCGACCTTGCCAACGACGACCTCAGGTGGCGATGGCCGCTCCCGGTCAACGGATGCGGCTTGCTGCTGCTGCTGCTGCTAATGTTGTTGCTGTTACTGCTGTTGCTGCTGCGGTTGCTGTTGTTACTGTTGCGGCTGTTGCGGCTG